CGCCGGGCGCCGCCGTCTCCGGTGTGCTGCCGGCCTCCGCCGCCCTCTGCCCGCCACGCAACCGCAGCGCCAACGGCACCGTCCTGCTGGACCCGCTGCTGCCGCGGGAGCCCCCGCCGGCCCCGGCACGGTGAGCAGTGCAGGGACGATGCACGTGCATGTACTGCTGCTCCCTTGCTGTCCCCACGCTGCCTGCTCTGCTGCTGGTGACAATGCAGCTGCTGCGTGATGTGGCGGTGCATCCCTGCTCGCATGCGATGCTGCATCTCTGAAATGGCGCGTCCATGCTTGGCTGCGATGGTGCATCACTGCAATATTGCATCTATGCTTGGTTGCAACAGTGCCTGCATGTGGCAATACATCCATGCATGGCAGTGATAGCAAATCCCTGCTTGATCACACTGGCGCATCCCTGCTTGCAGGCGATGGTGCATCCCTGCTTGCAGGTGACGGTGCATTTCTGCACCTGTGCATCCGTGCTTGGCTGCACCAGTGCAAGCCTGCTCCGCAGCAGTAGCCCCCCCTGCTTTGGTGCCTCTTTGCATCCCTGCATTGTTGCAGCTCTGCTTTGCTGCAGCAATGCCGTCCCACTTCGCTGCACCAATGCATCTGGCATGGGTGCAATGCCGCTTTCTGCGCAGGCCGGCGATCCTAGGGGAATTCTACGCTGTGTCCTACCTGTACTACGGGGCGCTGGGCACGCTGGGCACCGTGGCCGTCGGGGTGCTGGCCAGCTACCTGGCAGGTGAGTCCCGCAGGGACGTCCCCGCTGGGGACGACGCAGCCCATCGGAGCGGGGAGCGGGTGCTGGCAGCCCCTTCCCGCAGCTCCGGCTCTCCGGCAGGCCCCGCGAAGCGGCCGCCTGCGGATGTGCTGTGGGGGGGTGTGGCCTTGCGGGCGTCCCCGGCAGCCCCGGAGGGGACACCCAAGGTAGGTGACAGCAGAGCCAGCGGGGTGAGCCCAGGGTCGGCGGCAGCGCTCCCAGTCCAACCGCTCTCCGCAGGGTCCGGAGCTCCCCGATGCTGCCGACCGGCTGCTGCAGGAGACCCACGTGTAGGGTCCTGCGCGTGGACACTGGGATGTGGGGACATGGGGACGCTTCTCCATGGAAACATCCCCCGTTCCCGGCCTCCAGTGGCAATAAAAGCAATGAAATGGGAGCGCTCAGCAGTAGCACATCCAGGCGCATCCGGGACAGGGCTCCCTGAGAGAACTGGAGTGGGAGACGGGATGTGTGTGGGGACATGCGAGAAGGAGCTTGGGAGACCCATAGGAACGGGGTACCATAGGAATGGGGATACCATTCCCATGTGTATCCCATGGGATCCCATGGGCATGGGATACACATGGGAATGGAACATATATGGGCATGGGACACATGGGAGTGGAACACACCTGGGAAGGGGATTCACATGGGCGTGGGACATGTGCGGATACATGACAGAAGGGAACAGGAAACATCCAGGAATGGGACATGGCTGGGAATGGGACATGGCTGTGAATGGGATGTGTATGGTTCACGTGGGGAAATGAGATGCATGTGCAGACCGGAGCACGCGTGGGAATGAGACAATAAGACACATGTGGGAAAGGGGGGAACAGCGGAACA